TAGCAGATTTACTAATATTAAAACTAGCACTCGTGGTAGAATTTGAAAGAAATTCTTGGTGTAGCCCACGTGGTACCATCATCGTCTCGTAATGTTGCGCCGGCGTGAAACCAGAGTGGTCTGATAACAAGTCTGGCGGGTGAGATACGGGTGAGAATAAGGTCCTGCCGTTGATGCACTGCCTTAAATCGGCCATCAAATATTGTTCTTCCATTTCCACTTACACAGTTCTTTCAAGAATTAGAGAGAGAAGAAGGCTGTTTATGAGAGGACCTGGGATGTTGGTGGGGGTGGGTGGGAGACAATGGTGAAAGGAGCGGCAGACCCGGATCGTGTCTTTACAGTAAAAAGGCTTTGAATTTATGCAAAGGGTGATGGACCCATCTCTCCCTGTTTCTTCTGCCGAGATGTGAACCCTACTCTCTCACTCCTCCCTCTCTCCCTCATATACGAATGGATACATGTATTACACTGTATATAGGGTAAGGAGACTGCATAACCATTAAACTGTAGGCCAAATTAAGGAGAGAAAAATGTCAAAAAGCGAATTAAACGAAATGGTGAACAGTTCTTGCTTGTGTTTCAACAGTGTTTTGGATACTGCCTTTTGATTCTCTCTCTAAAATTTCCACTGTTTCCAATGGAGTCTATCTCTTCTGTTCTTTATCTCTCACACACGAACACGCAAAGAGAGAAGGATTAACAAGGAACTGATAATCTTAATTCCTTGTTTATACCACCAACTCTTCTGTCAAAAATTTATGAGAGCCATGCATTTTGCCACACTCTTAAACAAAGAAGTATTTTAAATTTCTGAAATATTCCTTTTGTTCCCCTATAGCTAACGGTAGCCTTTTTTTCAGTAAATTTTATCCAAAGTTTGATGCTTCTCCTAAGTTCTAATAAAAGGAACTTAAGCCGGGGCTCGAGGAAACCAATATATGTGCTGATAATTGATTTTTTTAATTTTTAATTTTTTCACTTTTTGGTAGGAGTGAAATTCAAAAATGAATATTTTCTTGGAACAAAATGCAGTGCTACTACTAAATTTTAGTGCAAATTTTTGGATTACCGTACGTAAACCGCTAAAATATTTAAATTGTTCTATCAAAATGCCATGGCAGACTGAATGAGCCAACTGATTTGTTTTTAATCCATTAATTATGTTGGTGTTGGAATTCATCATAGAATAATTTCTTGACAATAATTATTTGGGAGATTTGATGAGGTGGATGAGGAGGAGGAAATGGTTCCGACTCATATGATCATATATAGCTAATCGATCAAATCCGACCTTCTTGGTGTTCAATGGGTCGAAAGGTTGCTCTAAGGGAGAGACTTGCAGAGCGTGAGCAACACTGAGTTTCAGAAAATAGGTTCATTGATTGATAGGAAAGAATTCAAGAAAAGAGAATTAATAAAATTTTAAATCATTAATCTCTGTTGTAAATTTTGTTATTTTACCAACGGGACAAACCTGTTTTAGGTCAAACTTATGAGCAGTGAGGATTATGTCGGGCTCTTATACTTTATGGCAATGAGCGTCACTTAACTTGGCATTCCCGTCACATTTGACTTTTTTTGTGAGACATTTGAGTTTGATAATATTAATTTTTGAGTAGTCTGGACATAAAAATTGACTTCTAACTATAATTTTTATCACCTTACTAAAATACCCTGTAAAAATATTACGATAAACATACAATTCCAAATATTTCTATTCCCTACCATAAGTATATATCTTCACTTTTAGACCAAACATCTATTTCTAGTTTGAAGAATTTGTAATAATTCAAAAGTAAACAACTATCAACTTTATCTCATGAAAGGTATAGCTTCCTTTTTCATGTATTGCCTTCTTTATTGCTAGCTTTTTCCTTGCTACTTATGGCAAGATTTCAATAACAAGTTTTACAAAGGGAATCTTAAGCTATAAAATTTGTGGGAGATAGAGTTCAAATGTCTTCTTCTTTATATAAATTTACAAATATATAGATTTTATTGGGTTATATGTCTTGGTAATGGTCATCTCCTTATCATCCAGGGATAGCCCTCTATAGGTATTGCGAATTGAAAAACAAAATTACAACATTTTGGCGCACTCTACTAAAATAAGATTATACAAAATATGAGAAAAAAAAATTATTTCTTTTTAACGTGGGACAGTCTATATCCATTAGTTAATCACCTTGTAGATCCAAAAGCAACTTGTTGACCAATTAATCAGGTAGGACCAATTGAGTCGCTCCTCAACTCGCAACTCTTCCCTACTCAGTTCATAGAATGATCGGTTCGTACTAAGAAAAGCAATAAAATGCACTGAGCTTGAATTTTTTCATAAACAAGCAAGTACGGTTCATGGATTAGGCCCATGAGTCGACTTGTAGCTCGTGGGCCACTAGTTTTGACTGTTTAGGTGGCCAAACGTTCATTTTTTTGACCATTTGGGCCCAAACGATCATATAGCCATTTTGCCCAACGATCAATTTTTTTAACAGTCATTTTTCCTATATAAAATCCTCTAATTTTTGTCACACAATCCTACCGTCTCAATTTATAGTTATTATAAGGTCCATATTAGCTTTTTCTTGTGCAATCTGTAGCCTTATTTCACTAAATTTACATAGTTGAGTTATTTATGATCAATACTAATATAAATTCTATTATTTTACATCTTTTATATATTATTTCAAATGAATAAGCAGATTGTTGAAAATTTGTGAGTTATAAATGGTGAGAATGGTGAAATTGTACTAAAAAGTAAATGCAGTGTTTATAGAAATCATTAAATTATGTTTCTCGTGTTCGATTTCATGTTCAGGTGCTTGTAATGGACAATATAACCAGTAGGAATACATATAATAGAGTGCATATTTATCTATATACAGTTTAATTTCCAAGTTATCAGAAGCATACAAGAAAATGTTCATTATCTAATCTTGCTTGACATATTGGTTATCGCTTCAATTTCATTTCGTTTCCTAACATATACCAACCCAACTGACCGTTTTCGACTTTCAGAATTGGGAGAAGCGACAATCCGACTCCATTGAGAGGCGAAGCATATAAGGTAGAAGGTGACAAGGGAGAGAGGTAACGGACCTCGTAATTTATTTTTTGGGTTTAGGTATTGTTTAAAACTATAGGGTCCATTTGTTTTGTGTCTTAGTTTTTAGTTTTTAGTTTTCAGTTTATTTTAAATTTTCTATTTTGAGAATCAATTTTAAGATTATTAAAAATGTGTTTAGTTTATCATTATCAAAATTTTGTTTCTCAAAATAGAAAGTGATAAATGTATTTTACATGGTTATTTGGACCTAAAAATGTGTTTAGCGGTGGCATAAATTCTTTGGTATGAGCGGTTTCCTTAACTTTTGGATCATCTGATGCTCTTTCTGCCACTGCTTCTTTATTCTGCTCAAATTCCTTCAATTACTCCTCAATCGTGGTATGTACATTTTTTTAGCAACTGTTCTTTTTACATTAATCTCTGGTAGTTGAAATCCACTACTAGTAGTTACTGCCTCAATCTACTCTTCCTCCACAACCTCCACTA